ATGTGACCGCAATGTGATGCCACCAATTTGACACCCATGCTTTAAAGTAACACTATGCAGGTAGTCCTTCACTTGTTATCACAATTGGGCCCCAAATTTCCATTGCTAAGCAAGACAAGTTATGAAGTATGTTTTGCTCCATTTTACAACCTTTCCAGTTATTAAGATGAATTGCTACAGTTGTGAGTAACACAGTGAAGTGAATCTGGTTCCCCATTGACTATGCTTGTCAAAAGGTCACAAAAGGTGATCGAATGACCCTGTGACACTTCAACCGTCATAAATGCATGCCAGTTGCCAAGTGTCCAAATTTTGGACATATGACCACAGGGATACTGCAATGGTCATAAGTGTGAGAAAAACCATAAGTCACCTTTTTCAGTGCCATTGTAATTTTGAATGGTCACTAAATGAATGGTTGTAAGTCAAGGACTACCTATATAGTATTTAAGAATCTGTATTCCACTCTTTGCTGACCAGAAAACAATTTATGCTAAGTATTCCTGATCAGGAAAGAGTGATGCAGAAAATAAGTTGATGCCCAAAAGTAGTTCGAGTGGAAAGTTGTGAACTGTTTAAGATCTGTTGTATGACTCTGCCAAAGGAGAATAGCTGATTATATACCTTATTCTTGTAATAGTTAATTGGAGTAGACCCAAGTGATTAACCAGCACAAATATCTGAGGGGATGTCAATATCTAAAGCAGTTTGGTCTATAATGATGCTTAAAATGGGAGGATATCCCTGGGAGGTGAATCTGTGAAATCATCTTAGTGTTGAATGTCTGAAGATCTTATTGTGTGTATGAAGAGATTGAACATCTGGGCTTAAAAGTTCTAGCGAAATAAACATAATTATATACTTTCTATACAGAGTCATTTTTTTCTTTGAGCAGAAGGGGTTAGGGCAGACATAAGGAAATTAATCTTACGGAGCTTTCTGAAAAATTGTGTGAAAAATGTGGAGATAATGCTACATTAGCTGGTTTACAAGTAATAGAACTAATAATCAAAATAAAAAATGCATTTTACAGATGATAATGCAGCATCAGCAGCTCAGTAAATGAAAATTGTTTTAGCTTCCCTCCTGAATATTAAATGGGGGGATACTATGTGTATGTAAGGGGCCTGATTCTTGTTCCTGCCCTATCAGCCTCATGATAAAGGTGAGGGCAGAATTCACATTTTTTTTTTGTAACACTAATATGCAGGATTCAGAAAAGGAGGAAAGCTGCTCTTAAAAAACAGCTGTGGCTAACTATTATTTGTATTCCTTTCATGAAGTTGATATTCCTTTCAAGAACAGTCATTACTGACAGCATGAATTCAAATAAACTCAGAAGGCTGAGGTAGGTGAGATGACATGTTGCTGTCCGAATATGGATTTAAGCAATATACTTTGCTAATGGATTATCTTTGGGATTCTATGGAAGTGCTTAAATATCCATTTGGTCAAGATGTCTATAGAGATTCTCAATCATCCACATCATGGATGTCCCAAAGATGCTTTTCAAAAGGCAACTGGACTTTCTGTTTTTTCCTTGAAAACATTTTGCTTCTGGGCTAAGAAGCAGAACTGAAGAAACTTCTTGAATGAGAAGCAAAACTTTGTCAAGGAAAAAACAAAGTCTAGTTGCCTTTTGAAAAACACCTTTAGGACAACTTTTGGTCAGAGTTAATCCAGCAGCTGATATTCAGCTTGCTGACAAAAATTAGGAACCATTCTGATTATGGAAAGTAGACCATATCAAGTTAAAAGTTTCATTCAACTGGAACAATAAAACTATCAACTTTGTGATCAAAACAGGGTTACTATTAAGATCTGAGTTCCTGAGAGAACTTTCTGCAGATTTCTCATAAGATAGAAAAATAAATGGCAGTTGCGTAGAATCAATTTCTACCAGGTGACCTGAAATCTTAAAAATTCATTGGAACTCAATTCAACTAATTTTACTAAAGAACTCATGATCACTGTTAATGTTACTCTGAATTATTCCTAAACTGAAAACCAAATTAAAGCATTTGGTAAATACAATTTAATGCCAACCCCTATAGATTCAGGTTAGTAATCACTAGAGAGACAATCAGCATTAGAAAAACAACTCTCAGAGCAAAAGGGATTTGAAATGCAAACAGAATATTAATTGCTTAATACTTGCTTCTTTATAGAGTTTTTGTCTATGGAGCTTCTGGAAACAAGGAACATGCCTATATGCTTCTATAGTTTTTTCAGAGCTTCCACTCCGATTTTTGAAAACACTCATTACTTTTACATTAAATAAAAGTAATTCGTTTATCTATTTAGATTTTACTATCAAAGATACAAGCAAAAAAAAGTGTAATCTTTACGTAGAAGGACAGAATACATAAGCCAAGCTGAATCTTATGATAAACTAGTTTCTGTATGTTTTATGCTCCATAAGTTGTATGTTCTATATGCATTTCTTGGAGCAAATACTTCAAATATTAATAAATAGACAAGTACTTAGTGTTATTTATTTTATGCTGCCCAACTCTCAATAACTCTTTTTAAATAAATAAATCTGGAGGGGCGGGTAGTTCACAACAGTCAGAAGAAATTGCAATACAATCAGTAAAACAAAAATAAAGATAAAATATGGCAAACACAATGATCTCAATCTTCCTTGCTAAACATCTGGGTGAATAGTCTTGCTTGGTTTCACAGAAGTGCAATATGTGAATCCAATCACTATAATCCAGATATATGCTTTTTAAATTGTGTGTGTGTGTCTGTCTTTCTTTGTGTCATTGTCGATTCCTGGGGACTACTTGCAGTAGTTCCTATAGTTTTCTTGGCAAGATTTTGAAAGTAGTTTCCATTGTCTATGGGTTAACTATGTATAAATAGGCCATTTGGACTTTTTCAACAAAATGTAGTTAGGATGAATCATGTGAACTGAATATGGTATGTGAATTTTAAACTTGTTTAAGATATCATGAGACTAAGACTTCCGGTGGCAAGGCAAGGACGAACAGAGGTGTAGAAGCCCGTCTGTGGTTTCATTTAATCTCTTTTTGTGGTTGGCGCGATCCTTTGAGGGTGCACAAGTCCTGGAGAGATCTGTGCCAGCATGGGGGAGACTCGGGTTGCAGTGTGGGGAAGGCAAACCCCCTGCAGCGAAGAGGAGCCCCCCAGAGCCCAACGAGCAAGAAACAGCCCTCTAGCAATGGTGGCTCTGAAGTCCGGACTGCCACTGATGTAAAGAAGCGAGTGAGTGACAGTTTGTGAGATCATTGGGGAAGAGTGCGGCAGAGAAAATTAGCGGCGGAGAGGAGGATTGGAATGCCATAGACTTTTATAAGGCTGTTACAAGTGTCTGTCCAGAGCCCTAAAAGAAAGCGGCCAAAAAGCAAATGCGAGGCAAGTGAAAGTGAAAGGGCTTGGCGGACAGAAAAGAGAGAGGGGACAATAACGAGTAAAAAGGGAAGTTTACCAGGTTGGGAGACTAGTGGCTGGAAGGTACCTGGAAGTTGTGGAGGATTTGGACTATCTCATTTGATTTTTATTCTGAAAGACTTTATTAAAGTGGAGACGGGAAGAAGATCAGAGCTGACGGAACAGAGACAGTGTGGTGCCATATAAGTATAGAATTTTATGTATTAATATTATAATTTATTGTGTGATCACAATTAATCCACTTGGGGACAAATGTAATACTGTTTGTGTTTAAAAATATTTAAGAATATATATTTATTACATGAAGTTATATATAGAGGCTGAGCATAGACCTTACAAAATTATATATGTGATTTAGAATTTGGATTTAAAATAATGCAGTGATAATATTTTTAGATAGAAGTACTTATACTCCAGTAACCAGTTAAGAGCACAGCTATCCAGCAGATAGATAAAGTAATTAGATACCGGTCAATCCTAATACAGATATTCTATCACTGAATGTTAATTTGGGATAGTATAATTAATATAGTACAACAAGAGAAACAAATCTTAAAAGAAATGACTTCCACAAGTACTACAGCTCTGAAAACTGGAATAAAGGTCACCCCGACGTTAACAACTACGTCGTCAACAGCTTCACCCATGGCACAAAAAAACATAGAAGAAACATTACCAGTGGAGAAACAAGCTAACATCTCGAATGCCAACATCCAATCAATTTTGCTGACTTTACAGGAATTGATGATGAAGCTGCAAGAAACTGATGAAAAACCATAATGAGATGAGAGCAGATATCTATGAACTAAAAGAGAAGATGGGGAAATTAAAAGCAGAAATGAAAGCGGATATCTCCAAAGCAGAGGACAAAGATGGATTATTACAGCAGGCCTTGGAGAAAAATGAAGCAACAATAAAAGAGGTAGAGAAAAGGACTGAACGAACCGAAAGGAAATTAGAAAGGGTAGATGAAGAATTAAAGAATGTGAGTAAAGAAATGGAGGACTCACTGGTCTACCTAGAGATGGACAAGGCTGCTACATACTTGAGATTCCAAAATGTAGTGGAATCCAAAGAAGAAGACTTGGAACAACTAATGGTGGGAATACTGGCTGGACTATTGGAAAAGGATAAAGATGACATCTTAAGGGAGTTTGATGAAGTTTACAGGATTAGCACTAATTATGCAAGACGCCACAAATGCCCAAGTGAAGTCCATATACGATTTGCAAGAAGGAGTGTCCGGGATATCATATATAGGATGTCAAGAGATGAAACAATCACGTATAAAGGTAAAGAAGTCTTGATTCTCAAACAAATACCAAGAAGAGTAAAAGAACAAAGACGAGCCTACAAGTTCTTAGCAGCTTACCTAAATCAGAAAAGAATCGTATTTAAATGTCTAATCCTAGAGGGGATGTTAGTTTTTTG